GGCTGGGCGGGCGCGCAGAGGTGGAACCGCTGCTGGCCGGCAAGAGCGGCTGCGTGTCTTGTTAGGAGCTGCTTTTATTTTTTCTTTTCCTTTTCAGGGAGGAACACAAAAAACACTCTGCGGGCTGCGCTTTTCTTTCCCTTCAAAAAGATCCTACTAACCTGTCACTGCAGGAGTTCCTGAAGCTGGACAAAGAGCGAATGAAAAATTTAATTGTACGTACACATCGGCACCGTGATGTTTTTTGATGTACCCCGTGACTGTGGGAGAGTTATTTAGTTTCTAGTCTTGGGATTGTTCACCTGGCCTCTTGGTTCCTTACCACAGTGCTGTCAAAAGTTTGGTTTGCTGTTTCCTGGATCAGGTGCTGTGTCCTTTCCTGGTTCCCAGCCTTTGCCTTAGAGGAAGTGTAGCCTGCTTTCTCCTTGAATGATGCTCATTTCATTGGTAGACAGTAATCTATTATTTTTATTCTTTGCAGAAAAAAAATATCTCTCAGAAGGTGACCGAGGTTGAAGCTGCAGCCAAGAGCGTGCGTCGTGAAATAGAGAATCTGGTCTCCTAGGCTGCTGTAACTTCTCACTCCTGGATGACATCTGTCTTGTTTGTGTGCTCTGGCACTGCCACTTCAACTGAATGACTGTGTCTCCTGAGCCACTTTTGGCGTGGCCATCTCTGCGAGAAGCAGACTGATGTCTCCTTCACGTACCTGAGTCTGTCTGGGAAATACCTGGAGTTTGATTCACTGCATACATAATTTTTTTTCTGCAGGGATTCTCTTGTTCTTCCTGTTGGTTTAATTAAGGATTACTACTTGTGGTTTTATTTGTTCTTTGTTCTTTTAAAATCTCAGCTGTTTCCATTTTGGAGATGCTGGTAGCTCTGGTGCAAAAACTTGTGTTTCTTGCAACAGCTGGCAGGCACTTCCATTTTTATACCCAATATACCAATGCTTTTGGATACTTTTGGAAATAAAAAGGGGAAGGAGTTTTAAAACTCCTTCAGGGATTTAGGATTGTGGCTAATAATGTCTAATTATACCAAATCTTAGTGTGCCTGGAATCCTTTGTAAACTTCTGTTTGTAGTTGACTGCTGCCTCAAGCTGATGCATTTATAAATAAAAGGCAAACTAGCAAAGTAATTTTACTCAGTTTTCTGGAGGAAAGGAATCTGACCTTTAATGCAATGAGCTGCACTGAATGCAGTTTTAACTTCAAAATGGAAAATAAGCTAATCAAAGTACTGCTTACAGTGCTATTGCTCGAGTGTCAGACTGTTATGAGCAGCATTTATCAGGTTTCCTTAAAATGCCCTTGTGCCTTAGAAGGTTTGGTTGGTCCCTCTCCTTGCACGAGTTTGGAAAGGAAATCTTGCAGAACAGAGCACAGTCAGTGAAGAATTGTGCTCTGAACTGCTGGGAAGGAGTGGGGGAATCTTGTACAAAATACTTGGCTGTTACTCAGGGCCTGAGCTGATGATACAGGGTTGTGAAGTCTGCAGACAGAACTGGACGTGTGCTCTCAAACTCAGAGAACCTCCAGCTACGTCTTGGGGGAAAAGCGGTTGTAATCACACACTGATGAGACCACTGTTCCTGGGTTTCATAAGTTTGTCCAATGTTCCCTGTCCAAGCTTACTTGCAAACAATGAAATAACTTCATTATTTCCAGCTGTAACAGCCAAATCATATGCCGATTGCCCTTTTGCATTCTTCTTTTTGATGCTTGCATTGCAGCTGTAAATAAAGAACAGATTTTTTTTTTAAGCTACTGAAGTTCATTCCAAGTAACTGGAATTAGTGAAGTGGCTTGTAGGTAAGTGTTGATGTGGAGTCCCCTCAGAATTTCTGGATGCCTCTTCCTGCAGGGACCCAGCTGTGAGATAAGAGCACTGAACCTCCAGCAGGCTCTGGCCCTTAGGTATTGCTGACTAGGCCTGTGCAGGTAGATTGTGGGTGACTGGTTCCTGAACTAGAGGCCCAGTTACAGTACTTACCGTAACAGGGCTCGGACACACTCCTCTCCCTCTGATCCGAGCAGAACTGCCTCATGCAGAGCGGTGTTGTTGTGCCTGTGTAGGAGGAATAAGCAATGTACTTACTGCCTAAGAAAACCATCATGGTACATGGAGAAGTGGTTTAGCAAATTAAACTAAGGAAAACATAGGAAGATAGAGAATACACCAGGAGTTGCAGTGATTTTTTTTTTTTTTTTTTGTAGGCTTAGTGTGGTTTATCTTATGAAGTTGAAGTGGATAGGGGAAGGAATTTCATAGAACAGCAGCTTTTCCAACAAACTATGATAAATCTTCAAAGCTGGCAGCTGAAAGGACTGTGAATGCTATTATCTTTGTTAAGTTGCAGGTTGGTTTGTTCGTTTTTTTTAAATTTGGCTTTGAAAAGAGGTCCTCGACCAGACATTTTTAGAGGAGGGCTGGGAGGTTAGTCCTCTCTAAAATCGGAGCACAAATGCTTTTCTGGTTAAAAAAGGCCCAAGGTGGAGAATTGGTGCTCACTTACAGTCCTGTCTGCTGGTCAACATCAGCACCTTTCTGCACGAGAAGGGAGATTGCTTCCACGTGCTTGTTAAGGACAGCAACTGTGAGAGCAGGTTGGTCCTTGTCACTGATGCAGTTTGGGTCAGCTCCCTAGAAGGTACAGGGGAGGGAAGGTAAGCTGTTAAAGCCATAAAGATTCTTCAGCTTCCCACCTTGCTTTAATGTTATGCCAATTTAAGTTGACAAATGGACTTTATGCTCAAGACAGAGGAATGTTTAAATTGGGTGGTATTGTTTCTTCTGAAAATGTCTGTCATCATCTAGCTCAAAACTGCAGTAAATGTGTATAACGAGGGGCAGGCAAACCAGATCTCATAGGATGCACCTTACTACACAGCAAGGAGGTAGAGGTTGTGCTTGCTGTACAGAGGACTTGACTCTAAACTATAATGTATTTTTCTTTCCATATGGCCTTGACAAACATGGAGTAGAATGCCTTACACACTTGCCAAACAGAAATTCAGAGAGAACATATAAAAATAGGTGGTTTCCTCTCTAAAATGCTCTATCAGACTGGAAGCAGTCAGTTGTATTGCAAGGATGTTGCCTCCTAAGCATTAAGTTGAAGTTGCATACCAGACTAATATTCATATGTAGTAAATGGTCAAAGACTTGGAGAGGGAAACTTCAGCAAGCAATAACTTACTTCACTGAGCAGTTGTTCTACCAAGGTGATTCTTCCTTTCCCATTTGGACCCAGTTCGTCCAGTAGTTGTCTGGACTCTGGCTGTGGAAACACAGAAAACGGTAACATTTCATTCACATAGTGAAAATACAAGTAAGTGGGCCATATTCTGCCTTTGAGTAAAGGTGGGAAATGTACACAATGGCACATGAATGCAGCGTAGCTGAGCCTCAGTATTACTAATCCATGCCCCTTCTTTGTGAATGTCTTTCTGAATCTGAGCAAGTGTTGGATAACCCAGGCTAATAGCTCACTATTGAGGTCCTGATTCAGCAAATGTACCTACAAATGATTAGCTTTACATCGATGCAGCTCTCTTAGGCTGTACAAAGATCTGCTCATCACAGTAAAATTAAACACAGGCACAAGTTCTTTGCTATATAATTAAAGTTTGAAGCTTCCAGAAGTTCCCTTTCCCTTTTATTTCTTCCCAGCTTCTTCCTCCTTCTTTTCCCCTTTAGAAAGCCCAATCACTTGACCAAGCATTTTTTATTTCTGGACTCCTATCACAAAGCTCTCTATCTTCTTCCACATATTGAGTTGGTTAACTGATTGAAGCTTAGATTAATGTATGTATCCCTTTTGAAATTTTCCATGCCATTACTGACAATCCATTTAGTAGGCAGTGCTTCCAGGGTATTTGGTCTCTAGTGGAAGTAAAGCTTTGCCCTCAGCTGTGCTGACATCTCAGCTTAATAGGAAAACTGAGTTGACTTAAAAGCTTGTTGCGTAGGTCATCTTCTGTCTAGTTCACAGTCTGTGCGAACAGTGGTTCTAGCACAGCTGAGGGTATGTCCTATGAGTCAAACTAAGTAGTAAGGTCCAGGGAAGACAATAATGCATCCATCTGATGTTGCTTCTAAGAAAAACCTGTAAACAAATCAGTCTGCAACAGTCTTTAGGCCGAATGCTGTGTCAGTAAAACAACGCATCCAAAAATGAGAGCAACAATCTAAGTTGTTAGTAGGAACAAAGTTGAGTTATTTCCAGTTCTGTAATAAATGTCAGTTACCAATATTCAGGTTTCATATTAAGTTGGACTTTTTCCCCTTCCCTTACTCCCAATCCGCGTTAAAGTCTTTCTACTTTTACCCTTGGATGCCCTCCTTCATATTAGTGCTGCTCTATAGGCAGTTTTTCCCATACTGGCAGAAGATACTTACAGGGAGCTTATCTTCTTTTTCTGTAAGTGTTCTTGATTTTGTTCTCTTTATTTTGCCTCTTGAATGGAAAATATTATGATCATCTTTTCCTACCAGAAACGGAAACAAGTGTTAATTCAAAGCAAAGGCAGTATCCTAAAAAGAACTTGGGGGAGAGGTCTGGAAATAATTTATCCACAAAAATATTTTATTTTGTGTTGAAATCAAAGCAGTATTTATCAGTTTGCTACAAGAGAAAGTGGTGAAATATTTGTTGCAGATCAGACTGGTTTTAACAAAAGGTTTACACTTAGGCAGTCTTAAAAAATTGCTATTTTGAAATGAAGATTCAATGAAATGTGGAGTTTGGGGGGGTTGAGCCTTTATTTAACTATCTGCGGCTAGTCAACAGGCTTGACTCATATTCATGAATTGTTTTGACTAAAAACCTTACAATTTTCCAATGCTGTTTGGCTCCCAAATACTCAAGAACAAGACTAGAGGACCTTGAGTAGATATGTACATTATTTTAAAGAGACATAATCTAACAATATGCAGGAGGATTGATAAGGAAATTACACAGTATGTGGGGACCCTTTAAGCTGGTACTGCTAGAGTGCCTGGAATCAGTCACATTACTGACACTCCCAAAAACCAGCTCCTAGTGCTGTGGCAGCCTCTTGCCAAGTCTCAGAAGGGAAGCACAAAGTAGACAAAACTTATATGTGAACTGAAGCATGTCAAATGATATGATAGGAAATTCTGAATTCTAATGCTGACTTTACAACTAGTTGATTTAATGAAAATCTAAGTCCAATATGAGACACCTAAAATGCCGAGCTGTTACTGACACCAATGGGAGATAAATTAAGCATCTCTGAAAACTAGAATTAATATATTTCAGAATTTCTTTATCTTTGCTAAATGTGCCAAAGCTGAAGTCGCTGGCACAGCTCAAAAGTAGTTAATATTTACATTTGTGGCTACTATTGTAAAAGAACATGCAAAGCATCCAAAATTTTATCACTATAATAAAAGCACTGCTATGAGCTGTGGCTGAAGTTTACAGGCCCCTTCAGCTGTCCTCTAGGGATGAAGTATTCCCGTGAGTTTTTGACAGAATCCGTACATCACTTAAATTTCAACTCAACCACATTTTGAGACTTAAAGTTCAATTTAGCAGGTGCAGAATGTGCCAATATATTAGTTTGCCTGTCTCAGTGTCTAACCTTCAAAACACTACTTCTGTATTCTTGACTGCTATATTTATGGTCTATCGTAAAGTTGGGGAGCGCAGGGGGGAATCTCACCAAAACTAGTCTGACTGCCATCCTGTCCATCTCTGACTTCTGTTACAGTATTCAGGTAATGATTGCTGAACTTCACTGGTTTAGTATGAATATCCTGTAGAATCATCAAATGCAGTCAGTTAATAAGGTTATCATGTAATGCTGTTATAAGCTTAGTAGCACAACACAGTGGTCTTACATATGAAAAAATATGTAGGCTTTAATATCAGTCTCAAATTAGCACAAATTATTATATGTAATTGAACCCTGAGGCAAAATAATGTAGTATTTTTTTTTCTCAATCTTGCGCTAGTTATTTGTTTTGATTTAGAAAAAAAAAAAGTGACACAACCTCACTTAATGACATGAAGATTCTCATCCAAATGAAAGTGTTTCTACCACTTGAGAGATCTAATTAACTCCTCACTTGTGAAATGATGTGATACACTTTTTCAGGCACCACATAGCAAGGTAAGCTTGTTAAGATTCTACACAAGAGATACAGTCTGAATTTTGGATCTTTGAAATGATAGATTTTCATCTTTCAAAAGCTGGAAACGAATATGCCGGTGGTTTTTGGAACATAGTAATTCTGGAGGTAGGGATTTCAAGTGTTTGTTACAATTAACAGGAGCTCTGGTGAATGTTATCTCCAGACTATTGAGCATTACTAAGCTTGTTTCTTAGCACAATTTACAGACTGAAGAAAAGGATGATCTAAGATCAAGAGCTAAGGGGGGGCTAGAATCATCAACCAACATCAGCTGAAAGAAGAATGTTAATATTAATAGCAAACTAATGAAATGCAAGATGTTGGCAACATAACCATGAAGTCTGGCTTAATCGGATAAAGATACCTGTTCAGCCAGCTCCAACAGAAAAAAGATTCCTTTCTCTGAGTGATCAGTTAACAACCTCTGAACAAAAGAATTGCTTGTTTAGACCTGAATTTAAAATAGATCAGCATTACACTGACTGGTCTAGCAACAGCTTTAGACCACCTGCCTAACAACGGGCCTCATCCCTCGAACTGACCTTGTTAATAGCAAGAGCGTAATTCAGTGTAATAGTGACTTCACAGTTATCCTCACAGATGGTAGCAGAATTAATCTAGAGGGGAAAAGCAGCCATTAGTATCTCTTACAAAAAGTACAAAGAAATAATTTTAGGAGTAAGTCCAGGTGATGATATTTATTATGGAGCCAATACACAAAATCACACATGTGGCCTTTGCCTACTTGTGATTTTGTACCGACAATTCCCATCTAACTCAGCAAGGGGCAGATGGTATTTTGAGTAATTGGAAATATCAAAATGACTGAAATGCCAAATGAATCCAAAAGATGTAATAGTGTGACGTTTCATGAAAGAACAGTCATTCTCCACCCAGATTTTGAAGCTGCATGAAAGGCTGTGTTGTCCTTAGGACTCCCTACTTCAGGAGAAGTGGTTGCTGCTTTAGTTGTACCTGTTGAAGTTGTACCTGTAGCTGTTTAGTTGTCTGTAGAAGTACGGTCTGGAGTAAAACATGAGCACCTTTCTATATCAATTAATTGAGACAGTAGTGCTGGCAAGAAGACTATTGGATGTTCTACATAAATAATGCACAGGGGAAAGAAGTGGAATGAAGCTGTCAGGGTTATATTGCAGCAGGTTCAGAATTTTGAGATATGCTTAATTATATTTCTAATCCTCAGGAAAACTGAAAAAGCAGCATTAAATCCAGATAGTTGGCATCTACTTTGAACCACTTCTGTTACTTTTGGGGGCAGTGGTTTCAAGACAATAGGATGACAGAAGGCTGAGAAGCAGCAGGAATAGCCTCTAGGCAGTTTGATATTTTTTGGCATATCTGTTTGAATCCTCTAGCAAAGGGAACAAGTTGCAATGGACCAATACTTCATCTCCATCAAGCAGGTATCTTTTATATTTATACTTATACTACAGCTTCTGAACATAGTGGTGGACCCAATAGGTCTCAGTGGGTATAGAATTCAGATGCAAAGTATTTGATGGAGGTCATACCTCCCAAAAGTGTAATCTGCCAAATGACAATTGGATTTCTGATCCCCAGCATTCATTAAATTTTCTGTAGTTGTTTCTGTTTCTATGTGCTAAAACTTGTGGGTTGGTGGGTTGTTTGTTGTTTGGGTTTTTTTTTGTGACTGGCATGTCATCAGTCACGACTGGCTAAGAAGTAGTGAGCTTGAACTGTGACAAGACTTAGGTCAGACACTGGGAAAAAGTTTCCCAGTAGCTATGCCAGTTTAAGGAATTCCCAACCCTACTTCTGCCTACATCCCGCTTCCAGCTGCTCACTGCCAACCTACTTTTATACTAGCACTGATGCCTCTTTTTTTCCCTCCAGAGCTATTTTTAGCCTGGGTCAGTCACTGATCCAGTCCACAGGACATTGCCACAAGCAGTTGTGCTGGCAGCACCTGGGAAGCAGTGTGGGGAGATGCAATTCCTTAACCCAGCAGGGCTGCCAGAAGAAAGCAATACAGTACTGCAGCTGAACAGCAAGGATAATTGAGCACAGAAATGGACTGCCTGGGGCAATTGTGAAATCTCTATTGTTGGTGAGTTTGAAAAGCTTCAAGGCAAACATCTGTCAGGGACAGTTTAGGCAGAGTTGATCTTCCCTCAGGATAGGGACCAAATGATCTCTCAGTCATACCAGCTCTATCTTCTAGAACTCTTTAGGAAGAACCTCCAGTTTCCACCTTCTTGCTATCACCCCTTTAATCGTTTTAATGCAATTTGGTGACACCCTGAAGACTACACAGCCAGTATGAAAAGCAATACTCTGTTCCTATAATACTGGTATAGTTTACATGAGAAGTAGACTGCTGTCTGCTGTTATGATCCAGCCTGAAGCAGAGGCAAGTGTATCATTACATCCCATTTCTAGCAGGGCTTATTTAACTGACCAACTACATAGATGTCAGTGATTTCTTTTTCTTGTTTGTCTGCTGCAGGATACTATAAAAGCAGCTGAGTAACAGCTTTCTCACTTCTATCACTTCTCTTACAGCTGTGAGGTGAGAGAATAGACACTGCCATAGGAAAGAAAGCAGAAAAAAAATCTTCAGTAAAAGACTGAGCAAAAAATGGAATGAAAAAACCAAACAAATTACACACAAAAACCAGGTCAAGGTATAAAGAGAAGGGAGACATTTATTTTCCCAGTGTTTATCTGGCATCCACAATAATCTTTTCATGAGGCAGCATAGGAAGATATTACTCACAAACTCCTCCCTACCTTTCCCATTCGAGGTTCTCCAATCAGTGCTCTGAATTCAAGGTTGTTCTGAGCATAGCTTCTAAGGTGAGCACAGACATGATCCAGCTGTCTTCTCCAGTAACCTGATCAGAGAGTGTTAAGCAGGAGAAAAATCCCTGAAATTGTGATTAACATTTCTTCTAGTCATGTAATGAATGATTTAAATGTTTTCACTGAGACAAAAACAAAACAAAACAAAATTACTTTTTCTTTAGAAAATTAATCTGATCAAGAAAATGAGAAGCAAGTTATACCCTAAAAAGAGATGAAAACTTGTCTTATCCATAGATTATAATTAATTCTTAGGAAACCTCTATTCACAACAAAACCATGTCTCAGAATTGCCATTTGGAATCAAAACTGGCCCTGTGTGGAGGAGAATCTCACGCTATTCCAGATCATTAAGAAAAAAAAAAAAAAAGGTACAATACTACAACTAAGCAATTGTGCATTGTTGAACCGATATTTAGTTAATTTGAGATCACTGACTGGTAACAATAAGCCAAATCTGAAAATCGCAGGCATAGTAACTCAACCTATACAGCATTCTAGTCTGTGTAAATTATTCCTCAAATAAATGCCTTTCAATTATATGTGGGAGAGCATATTAAAAGCTTAAGCATTCCTGCTCTTTTGTGTGTCAGGATGTCTGGGAGAGAGTCAGCATTCCTTTATGGTCGTACAGGGCATGAAACATTAGGGACTGAATGCACCTCAATGCAAACCTCATCTTAAGCCCTTAAGAGTTTTTGCAGCTCCTGTCCAAGTATTTCTGAATCAATGTTCTTGTTTTCATGAAAGAAACAAAAGGACTTGTTCTCATTCTTAAGTGATTGTTATCAAGATCTGGCTAATTTTATTTTTGAGCATACTTATGGAAAGTACAGAGTATGATTTATTTTGTTGTAAATAAATTGTGTAGGCTTGGTAACCTCATTTAACTCACACAATGAAGTTACTCTGACCTATCCTTCCCTTCATGTTAAGTGAAGCTCAAAGCAGTGAAAAGAAGCCAAGTCAGAAGAAAAGTGCTGTTGTCTGACTTTTACAAGAGAAGGCAAGTGCACAAGGATTTTTGTGCTTGGAGGACTCTTCCAGGATTGAACTGGTAGAAACTATGACAAACTAAATGAGCAAAACAGCAAGTCTTATTTGTCAGGCAGCTTTAAAGGAATATAAAAAGAAGGATCCCCAGAGCAACATAATTGTTTCCTGCCATGGTTTCACATGCGAAAATACAAGTTGAAAATAGCAATTAAAAAAATCTAAGTTAGACTACTACTTGGTGAGTGATCCCTCCAGAGAAGTCAGTATTATTTGCAATAAACTGGTTCATAACTAGCCTAGGTCCCCAGATTTTATTTCAAAAAATCCAGATGGCCAGGAACATATTTTTGCATGTTTGATATTTTATTACATCTAAAAGGATTTTTGGCAGCACTGATGGAATACTTGAATTCATGCTGTCAATAGTTGATCACACCTCTATCACATGGATTTACTGTTTGTTACAGTAGAAAAGGGGAGGCTTCTCTATAAAGTTTACCTGGTAAATTACTTGGCTTTTGTTCAAAACAGACTGAAAGTACAGCAAAAAAAAAAATAAAATAAAAATACAGCACACATCAGAGGATTAGTGTTTTGGTACTGCTGTTATTTGCCCCTGTACTAACTGGGGTTTTTTTAATCTTCACAAAAGAAGGTTAGTTAATGGCTGATACGGTCAAGAAATTAAAAGAAAATATCTTATTAAATAACTTGTATTTAAAAACTTTAATATCAAATGTCTGATACTATTTGAATTGAAGAAATAATGGATGTATTTGGCATATATAAATGAGATTTTCCTGGGTGATAGCGTATGGTCTTGTTGATACATGTAGTTTCAAGCCGTATATACAGCTCATCATCAAGGAAAGGGAACAGCATGAAAGACTTGACTGTAACGGACTTTTATTGATTTATGGAATGAAATATGTTCCTCAGTCCTTGGAAGGGTCTAAAGAAGAATACATTACACACTGCATCTTCAACAAAGTTACCTCTGCTAAAGGGATAAAAATTAACATAGTTCAAAAGCAGTTGAGAATTTCATTCCAACATTTCCCAGTGAAAGAGTTCTCCCTCACAAGTCAAGAGCTTTTTTTTTTTTTTTTTTTTTTTTTTGTCAGCACTGTTATGGGCCAATTCTTTTTTATCTCTGACTAAATTAAACATGTTGAGTCAAGTGTTGTATTTCCTACAGTGAAGTCCAAGAGAACACGCCACATTTCAGAGCAAGGAAAACTGATTTCCCTAGTGATAATTTAAAAAATAAGACTGCATCATCTGGGTATTTATACAGAATCCAACCAGAAATTTCTAATATTCATTAGCAACTTTTTCTACCCAATAGATAACTAATTCTGGTAACAGCCTGAGGGGTTGACCTCTGATTGTAGAAAATAGTTAGAGATGGGAAAGCAGATCAGAAAAAGTAACTGCTCCTCCAAACCAACCATGCTTTGATGCTGTAGTGATTTAAAATTAATTTATTCTCTGTACTGCACAGCTGGACTCTCCTGTGAGATAGACAATTTCGCAGATTGGGCCATTTATTAGGTCCCTAACTAATACGGATAGACTGTCTCCAAGGTTTGGGATTCAGAAAGCTGAAGCTGAAGTTTTCCCAGGATAGTAAAACTAAAATCTCTAAAAATCACAATCTTTTTAATGACAGCAAACAGTGAAGTGATTCCACAAAGGATTAACTGATCAAACCAGGGACTGTGAAACAAAGTAATCGGCAGTGCTGATACAGTAGTCTGTGCATGGACAGTCTCTGCAATGAGCGATGTGGATGTACTGTTACCTTTGGAGGGCTGGAAGATGGAACCTACAAGAGCTCACAAGGTTGCTAGCAACGCTTGTTTCTGTAACCCCAAATCCCTTCCTCTATTTTAGTTTCCTTTGCTTCTGAAACTTCTATAATTTATTTCACAACAGTACCCCAAACAAGTGCTTCACATAGACAAGCCGCCTTATATTTTTCAAGAGCTATGATCCTTGACTTCGGTGTCCAGGAAGCTGATGGAGTAGCTCACCCTGAGTACCATCATACAACACATTCGGGACAGCCAGATGATCAGGCCCAGTTAGAATGGGTTTATGAAAGGCAGGTTCTGCTTGACAAACCTGATCTCCTTCTATGACAGGGAGACCCGCTTATTGGATGAGGGAAAGGCTGTGGATGTTGTCTACCTTGACTTCAGTAAGGCCTTTGACACCGTTTCCCACAGCGTTCTCCTGGCAAAACTGGCTGCTCGCTTGGATGGGCACATGCTTTGCTGGGTAAAAAACTGGCTGGATGGCCGGGCCCAAAGAGTTGTGGTGAACGGAGTTAAATCCAGTTGGTGGCCAGTCAGGAGTGGTGTCCCCCAGGGCTGGGTTTTGGGGCCACTCCTGTTTGACATCTTTATTGATGATCTAGACGAGGGGATCGAGTGCACCCTCAGTCAGTTTGCAGGTGACACCCAGTTGGGTGGGAATGTTGATCTGCTCGAGGGTAGGGAGGCTCTGCAGAGAGACCTGGACAGGCTGGAGCCATGGGCTGAGGCCAACTGGAGGAGTTTCAATAAGGCCAAATGCCAGGGGCTGCCCTTGGGCCACAACAACCCCCAGCAGCGCTACAGGCTTGGGGAGGAGTGGCTGGAGAGCTGCCAGTCAAAGAGGGACCAGGGGGTGTTGATTGACAGCCGGCTGAACAGGAGCCAGCAGTGTGCCCAGGTGGCCCAGAAGGCCAATGGCATCCTGGCTTGTGTCAGCAATAGCGTGGCCAGCAGGGACAGGGAAGGGATCTCACCCCTGTACTCGGCACTGGTGAGGCCGCCCCTCGATTCCTGTGTTCAGTTTTGGGCCCCTCACTACAAAAAGGACATTGAATGACTCGAGCGTGTCCAGAGAAGGGCAATGAAGCTGGTGCAGGGTCTGGAGCACAGGTCGTACTGGGAGCGGCTGAGGGAACTGGGGGTGTTTAGTCTGAAGAAGAGGAGGCTGAGGAGAGACCTCATTGCCCTCTACAGCTCCCTGAAAGGAGAGCTGGGGATGAGCCTCTTCAACCAAGTGTGATAGAACAAGAGGTAATGGCCTCAAGTTGCACAAGGGAAGGTTTAGACTGGATATTAGGAAGCATTTCTTTCCAGAACGGGTTGTTGGTCGTTGGAATGGGCTGCCCAGGGCGGTGGTGGAGTCCCCATCCCTGGAGGTGTTTAAGATTACTGACGACTTAGCACTGAGGGATATGGTGTGGTTGGGAACTGTCAATGTTAGGTAAATGGTTGGACTGGATGATCTTCAGGGTCTTTTTCAACATAGACAATTCTGTGATTCTGTGATTCTGTGTTTCAGAGTTTTGTTTAACAATACTCCCAGCAGGCGCTATCGCAGTTCTAACTGAACTTCACATTGCAGGGTGTGGGGAGGACGCTGGGAGGTGGGAGTGCTTGTTCAGTAGTTCCCAATTCAATATAGGACACCTGCCCTGATCTTGTAGGATCTGAGGAAATCACACTACTAGCAAATTAGTAAGGCTGCACAGCATCAGTAACTGTAACTTTGATATTGTTGATAGGCTTTCTTTTAGCTATTGGTGTAGATCAGTGATTGAATTCTAAGGCACTGCATTTACAAGTGAATGGTGGGAAGACAGACTTGTGAAGATGTAAATCAGTGTCCTACTGATGGCACATTCCACGGACCATAATCTTTTCAAGAAAAAGCAACATCATACATTGCAGCTTTGTTTAGAAAACATAAAATCAAATCTTCTAACCTTTTCCAGGACTAATGGCTGACAGGAGAGGCTTATGATCACTCATCTTTTCCAGCTTTTCTTTTTGTGAAATCAGCTCAAGCTCCTTCTTTTCCAACAGTTTGCTAGATGGGTAAAAAAGTCCAATGGTTTGGGTTCCTTTATCTTCTCTTTCTTTTAGTTCTGGCCTTGATTTGGGCAAGGAAATAGGAAGAGGCTGCCAGGCAACTTGAGCTTGAAATTTTTTAGCCTGTGGGAGGTGGAGGGTAAGGAAAAGTGTAAGTAATATAATTAAATATAATTAAATGGCTTACAAGCAGAAATTAATTAGAATGGTACACAAAACTGTAAAGGAATGAAAAAGCTAGCAGGAAGAATCCTTAACAACTCCTGATTTTAATTATCAGTCTGTAACCATAATGCAATTTATCACAAATATTCAAGCAAAAGCAAAAATCTTCATGATTGCCACGTGTTGTTTTTTGTAGGACAAAAGCTGGCCTTGCTAAATGTTATGGTCTTTCTTAAAACAGAGTTTTAAAAACACGGTTACATATGCATGAAAGAATACCTTGTATCACCAGGACACAAATAATTCTAATAAAAGTACTTAAAGAGCTAAGACTTTTGAAAAACTGATTGTTTCTCACTGTGCTATTTACAATAAGGCTGGATTAAGGCCTTTGGCTAAGGCTATTTTTCGGCAGAAAGCAGTTCTCAGAATAAACATATCCTTGGTTTTGCCCTCAGCATGCTCGCAGACCACAACGCTGTCTCAAAGAGGAAATGAAGTTGTGCTGATCTGTACCTGCAGTTGACTAGCCTTTTAGCTGTGTTCCAACCTGGCTTTGTAATACTGTGTGTCTTACCTCAGAAAACCCCAGCGAGTCCCCAGCATCCACGACACTGCCGCTGTGAGAACCCACCCTTGATGGGGGCTCTATGTAAATACCGCAGGACCCACAGAAGCGGGCATATGGATGGTTGCTTGCACCACACTTGAAACAACTAAAGTAAGATGGAGGAGGTCCAGGCTGGAGGGATCAATGAAACACTTGTCACTACAGAAACATGATGAATGGTTCAAGAATTACAAAAGTAGTGGCATGAATTAAAAGGAAGTAAAGTAGCACTACCTAAAGCTATTAACCGGGATACCAAATTGCTAACACACTGGCAGACGCAAGACAGTAAATCTTCAGATATCTCAGCACTCTGCTATGGAGGCAAACATTTTTTCAGACAGTTCTAGCATTATGGTATGTTATTTTTTTTTAACATATAATTTCAGAAATACTTATTTTCTTTGGAAAAGCCCTGTAATTACTAGTGTGGTGCTCTGATATTGAATATTGACTGCAATTATTTCCAGTTCAATTCTAACACCACCACAACCCCTGAGTCCCCTGGTATAAGACAGGACCAATGGTTCTGTATATTCACATAGGAGAGTGTTTCAAATTTTATGTAGACTCAGCTAAAAAAAAAAAAAAAAAAAAAAAGTGATCTGAGATTCAAACACTGTACCTATAAAAATATATGCATGGGGAAATTGTTTACATTGACTGTACCATGCAAAAGCTCTAATGAGCAGCAGTTAAGTATTTGTCTTAATGTTAATGAGGCTTTCAGCCAAAAAAACCTGCATGCATCATCTCATCTCTGGTAATTGCCTGTATAGGTGATCATTGCCCAGAGTAGATATGGGAAAACTTGCATTAGGTTAGCCTATAGTTTAACCTTTGATGGATAAGTGACTTTGGCAGAGTACATGGCTATTGCATCTCAGCTGATGCAATGAGCTGATGCTCGCTGGCCCATGATAATTTGTTTACATCTCTAAACCCTTAAGTCACTGACTGATGTGGGGTCAGGACATCATCTAAGCCTTTAATTTTTCTTTATATAATCCTATGTGCTCTAAGCAAGTATTTTGATAATAATAAGCTGTGTACAAACTGACAAAGAGTTTTGCAAACAGAAGTTTGAAGATGAGTAAAACAGATTTGTCAACACAAACACCGAGAGCACATGCCTTGGCTCCGCACCAGTCACAGAAACGGGCATCACATTGGTTAACACGATTGCATTTTGAGCATGAAACTGTTTTCTTTTGCTGGCTGTGGTAAGGCGGGGGGGTGTCTCCTCGAAACATGGGCTGATAAAACAAAACAAGCATTAGGGAGAAAATACTGATGAAGAAAAGTTCACAAGCCAAATAAGGGGAGAGAGGAAAGCAAGTTACACTGATAATATAAAGTAATATTCAGACTAAAAGAATTATTTCAATTTAGGATAAGCAACAGACTGACTTGGATCTAACCTGTAATTATTTTCATCACAAAACCACAGTAAAATGTGACATTAATTAATTTTAAAATATTTTTAGCAGAACTAGTGCAAAAAAAAAAAATTCTCTATCAATGGTGTCCTTTTAGACTGAGTATTTATTAATATGGCCCCATGTATAAGTACACTTGAAGTTACGAGGGAGGTTTCTCTGCTGATAAACTTACATTTTTGAATCCAAAACACAACCAGCATTTTTCTTTGTACCTTTCTTTGTAGTAGTATGGCAGGGAGAGTGTGTTGAGACAATGTGTTTTTTCTCAGTTTGGTATTCGCTAAATAAATATTTTTTTGCACTCTTTTACCTCACACAAGTTACATATTATCTAGCTCTCCTACTACAATTAACTTGTATGGGTGTGCAAAAGAAAACAGATTTTTCAGCTGAAACTTCTAGAGGTTGAGTATAGATCCTAGTTAGGACAAACAGGTCTTAAAAATGTTTTGTTAGGTTTTGCCTCGGGGTTTATGCAGTTTATTTTCTCTTCAAGTCAGAACTATGAATAATGAACAGAACCCAAGGAAAATTACTTTGATTACAGACACCACACAGCGAGTAAGCAAACACAAAATAGCCTTATTTTCATGTGGCCTGCACTGCATTTTGAACGATGTAATTTGGGAGCTCATTTGGAAAATAAAACTTACAAGAGCACAAGTCTAAATATGGTCTAAATCTACACTATTTAATAGCCATTAGTATTTGCATTATTACTAATTATGCAGGAATCACTATTGGTTATCACTAAGTAATCAATATTATTAGGGTTTTTTTCTGATTACTATTAATAATTCTTAGTAAGCATTTAACTTTCAGCTACTACAGGTCTCATCATTCAAGTCCTATGCCCAACTACATATGCAGCTACATATTACTATCTACATTCAGTGAAGAAGCTAAACATATGTTTATCTTAGGTAAGTATAGATTCCCACTGAAATTCCCTATGAAAAGACACCTCAGCGGCTACACAAAAGACCTTTGCCTGTAGCTACTGACAGTCCTAGAACTCAGGATGTTCCCATTATAACCAGAAGATTTTAACTTGCATATCATTTTTCTTCTTTCATTTCTGTATTTACCACAACCTGGAGAAGTGAAATGTACCGTAAGGTTTTCATACAAGGCTTTTCAGAAGTGAAAGTAAAATTCTTCTAAGGAACCGAATGAGCAAGTTAAATGGGGAGATGAAACAGACAGCAGTTTTAGGTGGAACATTTACTGTTGCTTTTCTCACCTCTGTGCAGAGTCACTGCCAAATACAAGCATAGTAGCTGTATGCATGTAGGGGAAGCAGCAAATGGAGATAAGAAAAATAATGTAAAATAATATTTTATTTTCACAAAATAATTGAAATCAACGTGAATGATCTTCCTGATGTATAGAATCAAGTTTGCTATTGCAGTTGAAAATAATCTGAACACAAACGAGAATTCTTAGAGTCAGGACTACCCATTTTCTAAGAGCCTTCTGAGCTTTCACAATGGCATTTGCAATCCTGACTTCCACAGGAGAAACTTGAAGGTGTTCAATACATTTATGTTTAGCTGGACATTTGTGATGGAGCATCTGTGGGAGTATTGGGCTTGAATATGGCATGGGGGAGGGAATCTCTGCTTCGTAGCATAGGGACACAGGGATATGACTTCAGTTTTCCAAAGAAAAAGAATGTTTTGCTTTGATTTGATTAACCCTGGTGTGATTGATGCAAGAAGCCTTACCGTCTGCATTTCAGGCAGTTTGCTTTCACAAGTCACACAGTGTTTATGGTGAAGGGGATTTCCTGTGCCACATGCCTGACAAATTACTTTGCCCTTTTAAATAGAGAAAGAATACATTTCATATAGTATTTGAAAACTGTGAACAACAATAATAAGAAGAGGACTTATCTTACAAAGTGCTGTGGTTATTCAGCCCTGCAGATGGAAGAGCTCCTTTAAATCTGTGCTGTGGGCTTCAGACTTTAGTTAGGCCATATTGCCTGGTCATCACAAATCTATGTATCTTGGTGACAATTTTTTAAAAACTATGGTACAGTTCCCTTAGGAGATACAGCATCAATACTTCCACAGCTTTGTATATACTAGTGCCAGTTTGCTTAGTCACCACACACATAGAAAACAGATAGACCGGTATCTTCAAGAAGAATAATTATTATTGTTATAATATACCATGAGGGTGCCCTAAAAGATCTTAGCATGGTCACTATTAATAAGAGAGTTTCCACCAGAACTAAGAACAATGAATCCAATATTTTGATAGTTGCCACCAAAAGTTCAGGTCTGCCTTTGCACCTACATCAGGGCTACCATAAAACATCAAATTTGGGCCAACTGTCTATAATTTACTTTGACATCAAGCTGATAACTGCTTCAGATTATGAATCTCCTTTGTTATCTGATCATCTTCAGCCACTGATATATGTTCAGCATCCTTCTTTTTCCAAAAATTTTCCCTTGCAATTATCATAGAATCACAGAATGGTTGGGATTGGAAGAGACCTCTGGAGGTCGCCTGGTCTAACCCCTTTTCTCAAGCAGAGTCACCTAGAGCAGGTTGCCCAGGACCATGTCCAGACAGATTTTGATTACCTCTAAGGATGGAGAATCTACAGCCTCCCTGGGCAACCTCTGAAGGTGCTCAGTCACCCTCACAGTAAAAGTGTTTCCTGATGTTCAGATGGAACCTCCTGTGTTTCAGTTTGTGCCCATTGCCTCTGGTCCTGTCACTGGGCAGCACTGAAAAGAGCCGGGCTCTGTCTTCTTTGAACCTTTCCTTCTCAGGTATTTATATGCATTGGTGAGACTGCCTCTGAGCCTTCTTTTCTCTAGGCTAAACAGTCCCAGCTCTCAGTCTTCCCTCCAGATGCTCCAGTCCCTTAATCATCTCCGTGGTCCTTGGTTGGACTCTCTCCAGTATGTCCATGTCTCTCGTACTGGGGAGCCCAGAACTGGACACTGTACTCCAGATATGGCCTCAGCAATGCGGAGTAGAGGGGAAGGATCATCTCCCTTGACCTGCTGGCAACACACTTGGGAAACACAGTCCAGGATACCAAAGACTTCTTTTCCCCAAGGGCATATTGCTGGGTCGTGGTAAACTTGGTGTCCACCAGATCCTCAGGACCTTTTCTGCAAAGCTGCTTTCCATCTGGGTGGCCCCCAGCATGGGGGGTGTAGGGGGTTGTTTCTGGGTGCAGGACTTCACACTTTTCCTTGTTGAATTTAATGAGGTTCGTGTCAGTCCATTTCTCCAGCAGGTCCCTCTGGAAGGCAGCATGAACTTCTGGTGTATCAGTCACTCTCACTTTTATATCATCAGCAAACTTTGCTGAGGGTACAGTCTCCCCCATCATCCAGTCCATTAATAAAGACATACAGGATCAGACCCAGTCCTGACCCCTGGACTACACTGCTAGTTACTGGCCTCTAGCTACACTTCATGCCACTGGTCATCACTCTCTGGGTCTAGCTGTTTAGCCAGTTTTCCATCCATTCACTGTCTGCTCATCCAGCCCATACTTCAGCAGCTTCTTTGTGAGAATCTTAAGGCAGACAGTGTCAAAAGCCTTACTGAAGTCCAGGTAGTCAGTATCCACTGCTCTCACCTCATCTACTGAGGCAGTCATTTCATCCTAAAAGGGTATCAGGTTGGTCAAGCATGGCTTCACTTCTGTGAATCCATGCTGACTATGCCTGATGATTTTCTTGTTCTTCACATGCCTTGAAATGATTTCCAGGATTACTCGCCCCATTATCTTCCCAGGATTGAGGTGTGAGGCTGACCGGCCTGTAGTTCCCTGGATTCTCCTTCTTGCACTTTCTGAAGGTAGGAATGAGACTTGGTTTCCTCCAGTCCTCAGGAACCTCTCCCAATCACCATGTTTGTTCAAAGATTACTGAATGATCCCTATGACATAACCCAGCTTCCTCGGCACTCATGAGTGCATCCCAACAGGGGCCCATGAACTTATCTCTGTCCAGTTTCTTTAAGTATTCTCTAACCTGATCCTCCTCCATCACAGCTTAATTCTTCCTTCCTCCAGACCTTCTCCCCTGGCCTCCATGGCCTTGGATTTCTGAAGGCTGATCTGGTAAAGGCTGAAGTGAAAATGGCAGTCAGTACCTCAGCCTTTTCCATGTCCTGTGTCACCAGGTACCCCATCCCATTCAGCTGTGGACCCACATTTTCCCTAGTTTTCCTTTTGGTATTTATATACTTACAGAACCTCTTCTTGTTGCCTTTGACATCCCTCACCAGATTCCACTCCACAGGGGCTCTGGCTCTCCTAACATCTCTGCATATTCCTCCCAGGTTGCCTCTTCCTGCTTCCACCTTCCGTATACTTTCTTTTCATATCTGAGTTTTGACAGGAACTCCTTGTTTATCCATAAAAGTCCTCTGGCACTTTTGCCTGTCTTCCTGCTCATCAGGATGGACTGCCCTAGAGCTTGGAGAAGGTGGCCCTGAGTCACCTTGAATCATCACTAGCTTTCTTTGACCCCTCTTTCTTCCAGGGTCTTATCCCATGGGACTTTTCCAAGCAGATTCCTGAAGAGGATAAAGTCTGCTCTCCTGAATTCCAGGACTGTGATCTTGCTGTTTGCTCCTGCTCCTTCCTCCCAGGGTTCTGAGCTCCACCCTCTTGTGGTCACTGCAGCCAAGGCTGTCTTTGACCTTCACATCCCCAACAAGGCCCTTCTTCCTTGTAAGTATGATACCCAGCACAACACTCCTCTGCATTGGCTCCTCAGTCACCTGGCAGTTGTCACTGATACTTTCAGGAAGTTCTGGATTGCTTATGCCCTGCTACATTGTTCCTTCAGCAGATATTGGTGGGGCTTAAAGTGCCCCATGAAGACCAGGGCCTGCAAATGTGAGCATACTTCTAGCCGTCTGTAGAAGTCCTCATCCACTGGTTCTTCCTGGTCAGGTGGCCTAAAGCAGACTCCCAATGTCACCCACACAGTCACACCAGCCATCCCTCCACGTCCCTGTAGTCTCATCAAGTTCACAGCCCTGCAACTGTACCCAGATATCTAATTCCCTGTGTTTACTCCCCATGCTGCATACATTAGTATACAAACACTTGAGAGGCACCCCAGCATGCTGATTTCACAGAGAGGCTCTGGGGGGGGTTTCCCCAATCATGCTGTATTACAGGCACTTCCTCGCTTACGCAGAAATGCTTGAGGTGACCTCACTTAAACCCTATTTTGTTGATCAAGTATCCCCTTTTGTCATCATCACCCAAGACCCTTTACTTGTCAGCCCTGTCCATCATTCCCTCACAGGGCTGCTGGTAACCTCTCTCCCCTGGTGTTTCTAGGTTAAAGTCCTTCTTAATAACCCAGCACTCCTGCTGGAAAAGACACCTTTGCCTTGTGAGGTGAATCCCATCTCTCCTAAGGAGATGGTGATCCTCAAACAGGGTTCTGTTCTCATAGAAACCAAAACCTTGTTGCCGACACCATCTCTGAAACCAATTGTGGGTATGCAGTATCAGTCCTCTCCTCTTCACACCCCTCCCCCTGACCAGGGGCATCGAGAAGGGCCCCTATTTGGGTACCCATACCCCTGGGTAGGGAGTATTTTGTAGGGCAGATTTTGTCTAGTTAAGACCAGGAACACTTCTGGATCACTGACTACAATTGCGCTCTAGTGTTTTGAGTATATACCCCCTGCACCAGTCCTGCCAGCCCATCTGAGCTAAGCACTCACCATCAAATGAGGTAAGCAGAGTAATGAGGACATATTCAATAAACTTCAAATGCTTAGTAGAAATAAGGCCATAAATCATAGAATCATCTCTCTACTGAACACAAGTGCATGCATTCCTATCATTCACACTGCTATATCATGCGCTCTTCAGCATGCCTTCCTGAGCTTAGGTGGTGATTATTTCTGTTCAAGGTGGTTTTAATCCTACTAACTCTTAAAGGTATCATAATGTAATTATATAAACCCAAGCTGGATCAAAATATTTATAATGAAGTCATCTGTTAGAAAAATGCATGCCAGGAGGTAAACTGCTATTTTGTTATATTTATTCTCAATTACCTTTATACAGATGTTCGTTTGGGGCTGCAGCTGTGGAGCTATTGGTGACTCACATACAATGCAAGTAGGTGTATTCATTGGCACAAGATGTCTGCATTCAAGACATGGTGCCATCTAAAGAAAAAGCCACATCACAGCATGTTAAGGACCATAATGAGATCATGAAGTTTATCATGAGATTTTCAATATTTTCCTGGTTAGAGTCTACATCAGCAGCAAAGTCACTGGAAACAGCAACAGATGCTGATATTGATCCTTAAAGATCAAAGGTGGTTGAGAAAATATAAAGACAACTGGAAAGAGAATGCTTTACCAACTACTAAAAATATGCCAGAAAGGTACAAAGTTAATTTTCAGTAAAAGTAAAATGCTACTATAAAATGTGTGCAGGTAGTTTGAAATTCTTTTAGTTATGAACTTAACCGAAAGACATGGTGAATATTCTCAGTCATCACTTGAAACTACAGCATTGCTCCAGACAAGACATCTTTCTGATGATAAAGAAAAAAAATACACCACTGACTTGTAAGATCAAGTTATTATCTCTTGGGAAGAGCTTAGAGAAGACAGTTACAGGTATCACTGTAAAAACTCAGTGGTCTATGTGGGCATATGCCCACATGTGCCACTGTTTAAGGTTTCATGCATATTAGATGGATCTTCTACAGCTATGACACAAGCAGTAGTTACTGACTAACTAACTGCACTAGTTAGCACTGGAATAAGATGCATATGCAGGTCCTGAAGATGCAATGGTTGTTGTTGCAGGATGAGGAGAAATCTGAATTTGGTAATGTTTCCTGACACAGGCAAATAAGACACAATTTACTTTTTCATTGCTATCCTTATTAAAATACATGGCACTTGAAGCAGTCTATGGTTAATTTTGCCCATCATTTAGGAATTACAACAGGTCCACTGCTAAAGGTATTGAACAATCAGAACAGAACTTCCCAAAAAAAAGCGTGACTAAATATGAATTCAATGCGTAGCATTGCATGTGTAATTTGCTGGGGTAGTTGGCTTCTCCAAAGAGGATTTGTTGTTTGTTATGATGTTGTGCTGACCTGATCTCCTTCAGGGGGTGGAAAGCGACGTACTGGCACAGGTGGGATAGGAGATCCACATTCCTGACAGAAGTGAGCAAAGGGGTCAGACAGGCGAGGTGCAGAACAGTGTGCACATCTGAAAACAAAAAGCAAACTGGCTGAGCTTGTTTTGGTATTGTACTGTTGCATAATTAATGAATAATTTGGAACTTGTTGTGACAGGATTTAGGCCACTGATTTCTCAGCTGTTGTTTCCAAGCTGTGGTGGACCCTCAGACCATGTCCAGCATCCATGATATGAGGTTCTGAACTCTTAAACAGCTTTGCAAGGTAGAAAGGTCTTGGCTGCCATGGAGTTTCATACTTTCTTCCTCATCATGTGAGGTAAACAAGACTCCTGACACACAATCTGTATCAGACCTCGCTGCTGCAACATGGGGAACCACTGATGTAGATCAAATAACCCATTCAATACTGATAAGCACTAATGTTCTGTGAGACTGCTCCGGTGAGCAGTTTTCACCTACAGCAGTGAGGGCTGTACTCTAATTTGAAAAGACAGCTTTTCCTCTCATCCTACAGGTGTTAGGAATTTCTTCTCTTTAAAAGGATGATGAGATAGTTGATAACTGTTTATGGTGAGATGTAAATAAAATTTTATGTAAGAAAGAATTTTGAAAGGCCAACCTAGATACATTCTTCTGTTATGAGCCAGTGTCTGTCTTTGCTTTCCTCATTTTTATACAGGCCCACAATATTATCAACTTGGTTGCAAAAGGCAATTGCTCAGTTACTTTCCAAGGACAGATATGTTAAAGGGAGAAATCACTTACTTGAGGAAATCTGTTTCCCTCTGGATCCTTGCCACTTGTGTGCTTGCTAAGCTTTTCCCGCTAGTCACTGCAGAAGAACTGGCAAACTGAAATAAAGATAATTCTTCAGCCTTGGTAAGTGAATATTTGCAAAATGCATAGAAGAGTAGCAAAATCAGCTAAAGATGTTATCTGAGACAAACTGCACTGAAATGCAGTGCTTTAAGGAATATCTAATACACTTGATTCCCCCATTAGCTGCATTAAGGATCCACAGCTTCTTCCAATAAAATAAATCAACGTCTTGCTATTTATTTCCAAGACAGCATTACCGAATATTAAGTTTAAATATCAATTTGCCAACATATAGCAGTAAGTATTTGCTAATTGAAGATTCAGTAATGTATTAGAAGAGAAATAATAGGAATGTAAGCATTGTTAAATTGCTTTGCCTGGTTTTGTCCTTACTGATAACTGCGTACTGCTTTGGGCATTTCTATACGAGGGTGTCATTGCCAGTAAATTTAAATTAGTACCATATAATACAGTCAAAGGCATTAATTTCTGCAAGATTATATGAGCATGATCACAAATCTTCACATCTTTATTTTTTAGAGTTCAGTTCTGATGATAGCCTTTTGCAGTTTTCCTTAACACCCCTTCTCTTACCTGTAACAACTCTATTGGTAGTGCTGAGATGGATTCCTCTTTGTACTCTGTTGTTCCCAAATGACTGGCAAGGAGCTGTGGTCCTTGCAGGGACCTGTGAGTAGTCTTTCCTTCTGTTTCCAAGTCTAAAATTACAATCTGGTTATTCCACTGTCATTCACTTCATGCATTTAACATTAACACAAATATTACATACTCTTGCTTTAAATTCCAATAGCTAGAAGTGTATTTGACACCCAGATTTTGGGTTCAAATAAACTGCATGGAATTACACTAGAAGCAAGCTCATTCCTCTCTGAAAGACCTTACTTTTGTATTTTTCTCTATTTCCCAGTTGCTTCCTTCCCACATGCTCAAAAAACCCCAAGTTCCTAAGAGTAAATTAATGAGTAAACATTGATACGATTCTCTGCTCTTAAACAGTCCTGTTGCCGTTACCATGGAATAACAGGCTTTATCTTTAGAAAAAATCTGGGTCGAGCCTTCGTTTCTGCTTTGTGTATTTATTTTGGAATCTTACTGCAAGCAAGTATCAGTAAAGAACTCTGTAAAGGATTTTCAATCCCATCAATTTAACAGCATTTTCTGGTACAAATGGAAGTACAGACTAGGCCGTGTTTTGTGGCCAAGAAATTAATGATATTTTAATATGTTTTTAACTGGTAACATGAAATGTATGGAAGGTAACATTTGTTCCCTATTTGCAGTGTTGAGAAATCAAAATTGGAATTCCCAGAGGATATTCTGTCTTCTGAGGTGGTTTTAAAATTATCCATATTTTACCAGTGATATAAGAGGAAAACTACACTATTTTCAGCTAAGACAGAAGTCTATTTCAGTTTTATGAAGTAATACTACACCTTGAAAATCTTGGGATGCTTCACTCCAGGCAGATTTGATTTCTACATTCACTCCATTCTTCTTTGGTTCTGTAGTAAACGTTATGCCTTCCCTCTGCTAAAAAGTAATTCCATCTGAATTCCAAATGAAATTTTTGGTTTTGCTCTAATCTTCTCTTGCTATAGTTATTTGTTATGATTTTTAAAGTACATGGTTACGGTATCTATTTTCAATGCAAGCATTTGAAAAGCTTAAATTATAAATAAATGTATTTTTTAAATATTTGACCTGAACTGGTCATAAAAGACCAGTGTAAAAGAGAAAAGGTCCAAGACAGCAAAGATGGGCAAACAGAGAAAATAAAATATATTGAAAGTATAGGCAGTCAAGGTTTAATCTCTAACTAATTATCATACATACAACATTTTATATTCACACAGGGGGTTACAATTGTTGAAACTTACCTGTGTGGCAATACCTTTTAGGAAATTCTTGTTATCGTCTTCAACAGAGAAAAGGATGTTTGGTTGCTTGTACTCTACCAGAAACACCTTTGTTACAACTGTACTCTCCCTGCAGTCCCTGAAAATCAGTGTTCACAAAGCTATATACATGCCACAAACACACATGCAGCAACAAGTAAATCACTGAGGTATATGGCTCGTTTGCTGGAACATCTCTTCCAAGCTTGCAAGTCATTATTTCAGCTGCTAAGTATAATCCTGGACAATACTCTCAGGAACTACTGCTTTGTTTTGGTTAGGGGTTTTTGTTAGTTTTTTTTTTTTAAAGTTTAAAATGTGCACAATAAGAAGTTACAAATAAAATATATGGATACTTTAATCCCTCAACATTTTTAACATGTAAAACTCTTGATACTCCTGTGTCTGCTTTCTGGGGTAACTAGTGTTTGCCACTGTTGCAGAAAATAAAGGAGAACAAGATTTTTTTCTGTTCATAATACCATATTAATTTTCCTAGTCAAACAGCAGGTAGCATGCTATTTAGCTGATAAAACAACTGTTATTCTCTACTATTCGTTAAATTACTGCAGTAACATTGAAATTGCTGTAAATGCCCAAACCATTCATTTAGGATTGTCATTCCAGAGCATCTATTTAGCATACCTGAAAACATCTCAATAAAACCACAGCGGAAACAAGTGTTAATCTAGGTAGTAATATCCAAAAATACATATAGGCCTAGGTTTTGCATGTTCCTGCACAGGGAACGTAATGCTGTCATAGACCCGTGCAGACACAAGCAAAGGCTACCTGCAGGTGCTAATAGCAGGGAACAGCCAGCAGAAATCCCCAACTGGAGTGAAAGTTTCTGCTCCCTGAAAAGTAAAAGATAATGCAACAGAGTACAGAGAATTCATGTGTCCTCTTTCTGTCTTTAAGCATGAAGTTAGTTTGGAGAAAGTCAGTGGCTGTGAAGCAAAATCCAGTTTTCTTTGTATGTATTGTATTTTTACTTTACCCTTACCCATACAACATTGTACTTAAGATGTGAGGATTAGCATTCTGTGCTCTTTTGGGGAGAAACTAAGCAAATTCCTGGGAAGACTAACTTCTATAAATCTGCTGAATCACCAGATGACTCCAGAAAACACCATATGAGTTCCTCTTGCATTTCTGATCATCCCATTCAAAAAGGATGAGCTTTAAGTATATTTTATATCTAGTATATTTATTAGTTTCTCACCCACAGCCTCTACAGATCATTGACCTACATCCACAGCCCAGGACATAAACATCCTGGAGATAATCCAATCACACAAACACTTAATGGATAAAAAGCGTTATGAGAAAGTGAAGTCAGTGCAACCCATGAAGATCACTTAGATTGCAAACTGGCTGGGGAAAGGGGAGTCTCACTTGCAAGGTGTAGAGTGCTTTAACTAACATGACTCCAAGCCATAACTGGGCTATCTGTCCCTTGCCAAAATACAACTAAAATAAAACAGGACACTTACTTTGTAACTGCCAGTGCCTTGACCATTATTTTCCCAACTGGTAATATGATAGGACCCTTATACTTAAAAGTGTTACGCTCTCCATAGCCAGGTTTCCTAATAAGTTCTGGTTTACTTCCATCTAAAGTATAATAAATAGAGACCTCAGGTGTATCTGAAAGACACAGAGAAAGTAATTAGCCAAACTGTATTCAACCTGTGAAAAACAAGCTGTACTCTTCAAAGTGCTCACTACTGTGCTTAATTTTTCTCACATAAACAAAATAAAGCAGTTCCATAAATGACTGAATGTTTGGGACCAAAACTGTTTCTCCCATGAAAAATTAGTTATTCAACAAATGCAAGTTCATTGTAAGAAATACTTCTCTTCATAAAGTAGCTGTGCAATAGTTTTGTATGAAAACGTTGCAACAGTTTGTCCATTCCAATGACAGAAAAGATATTTTTTCCCAAGATGTAAGGTAACATTTTTAAAATTGTAAGGAAAGCCATTCAGGTGAGCCTGGTACAAGGTACATTCAAGTGCTGGTTTTGCAGTCAAAGTGAAATGCAACAGCTTGAAGCAATTAAGACTGCTACCATAGATGAAACAACTCATGACAGTATTTTTTGAATGCATAAAATTAAGTGTATGTATATTTGCTGTATCAAAACATGTCAGTTAATTTTATAAATTCCTTAAGGAAGTGGTCACTCATAAAAATCATAATTAAAGGCAAGCAAAAATATAGAGGCTAAAAGTTTCAACACATAAGAAAAGCTTTTACAAAGAGTCAAAGCTCTTATTCATACCTGATTTTATTTCTATGAGAGTATTTGTGTCTATTTCATGTTTAGACTTCCCTGGAAGAGGGATTCGAAGTGGTATGACCTGAGGAACTGAGACAGAGCCAGCTGTCATTTTTCACAGCAGTGATCTTTAAAAAAAAAACAACAGAAAGGCAGATAATTTTTCTAAACAGAAGAATGAATTGAGAAATAGTTTTTAATGTGATTTCTTGTCTTTGTTTCTTTTAAAAAACACCAGATTCTTTAAACTGCTAGTTCACATTAAAATCCGCATGATTTTCACACTGAAAAGGAGCAAGACCCTAATGACAGTCACACTTCTGACTTATTCTCCTGTCTCAGAACTGTGCACAAAGCTTGAGATGAGCACTGTCACTTTCATTTCACTTTGACCTTCCTTGCTTAAGGCTGATTTCCATGTATTCACATGAAACAGCATTAGCATCCTACATCAGTGACACAGGTAGGAGTAACAGCGAGGTAACTCCGCCCTAATCATAGCAGATGTGGAACCAGCCTCTTTTTCACTGTGTCCATCTGATATATAGAAGATACCCTGAAAAAGACTAAAACAAGACAGCTATTACTTAAGCTTATCTCAGCTATCATGTGCATTAAGAATATACCTATAAAACAGGTGCCAAACATGTTCTGTAATAATCTACATAGTCATTATCATGTCACACACTTCAAGAATGAAAAATTGCATTTGGATATGATAACATTTTACAGTACAAAGAGATGTACTCCAGATCTCGGGAATTGATACTCAAGGCCAGGAAACATGTCTACACTAGAAGGATTTCGTTTTGTAACCAATCCTTCAGTTCTCCAGAGACGTTTCTTACTGCTACTTGTCAACGCAGACAGTAATGATTCAGCACGGGAGGTGTTCGTTAGTCCACGCTCTCACTGGGGCTATGATGAGGTAAGCCACAGCGCTGCCTGTAGCTGCCATCTCCTGGGCTGGGTTGCCCGAAACAGCGGTTAAGGAGGGTGGGCAGCAATCAGCCAGACGCTCTCGGCTGCACGCAGTGGCACGGGAGATGCAGCGAGGGGTGGATCAGATCTTTACCTGACGCGAGGGGGCAGAGAGTATTTTGCCTCAAGGACCCGCCTGCTCTTGGCACACCTGTACCAAAAGCACAATGCCCCGTTTCAGCCTCCCGGGAGCCCATCGCTGGTGGGACACACCCAGCCCTGCCGGCACTGTCAGCGTGCCCGGCCCCTGCCCCAGCCTGGGCTCTGACCCTGCCTGCACTTGCCCTGCCAGGTCAGGCCGTACTTCCCGCCGCCTCACGGCACAGCCCCCCCCACCCCACCCCTACCGTAAGGGCCCT